GCACTTAAACAGAACTCAGGGTCTCCCCCACTAAACACCCTCAGAAAACACCCCTGTTAGCTGAGCTCTGTTTGCCGAGCTCCAGGGACTGGGGCTGCTGCTATACAGGCAGCTAGGGACTAGCTCCTCTCTCAACCAAGTCTCTGACTCACTTCTCAGCTGAAGCCCTGCCTCCCTGGCTCACTTCCTCTCCAGTCTCTGGCTCATTTACTCTAGATCACCCCCAACTTACTAGCATAGAAACAAGTAAGTTTTGACCTTCCTGAAGCACTGAGCTTCAACTCCTCTAAGTCTTGGGCAACATGGTAAGCCACTGCAGAAGTCGAACTGCAAAACATCCAGACTGCAGAACCAGATTACCCGACCTTGCTCTAGGTCTTACACACCACACAACTTTCTTGCAAAAATCTCAATCTGGGAATGGAAAATAAGAGCACGAGGACTCAATGCAGAAAAATTGAACCTGTCCAAATTATATCAGCTACCAATCCCTGGCCAATAAACTTGCACACTGGCTCATTAGCCAATCTGATAACAAGCTCATACATTTCCAAGTGAATCCCCTCTGGCAAGGGAAACTTTCACTTCCAACAAGCTATGAGAAACATTTCCTTAAACTTTTATTTTCAAATTTTCATCCCTGTTACACCATTTCTTGCTGCTGGATAGCATATTATTTCCCTTTAACATTCGATTGATTCCTTTGCCTTAGCATACTGTTCGTTTTTTTGCAAGTGGTGAGCGGATTGTAGTTACTAAAGGAATTAGTATTCAAATGCATTCAATTAAATACAGAGCCACACACTTTTTTTGAGAAAGGCATAATTAAAACCATTTTGAAAAGCCACCCTTGCCTGGAAGACAAAACATTTTTTGAAAAGCAACAAAGCAGAACAAGGCACTGGTATGAATTTAAACACTAGTGAAAAACTTAGCTCAGCAGTATACAGAAGCACTTGCCTATTCCAAGATGAGGCTTTTGGTCATATTGGTTGAGCAATTCTGGGACCTGGCCCCCAAAAGTAACTTTTCCAAGCTTGGGTATGAGCTACCATATTTTCTGGTGTATAAGACGACCTTTAAACCAGGAAAATCTGGGGTTAAAGTTGGTGGTTCTCTTATACGCTGGGTATAAGGAGGAGGAGGACAAGGAAGATAGAGGTGTGAGGCAGGAAGGTGCTGGGGAGAGAAGGAAGACAAGGAGGTTCTCCTTCTTCTCTCCCCCGCTTTCCCCCCTCCTCCCACCTTTCCTCTTGTCCTCCTGGTCCTCC